TGTAATACGTACGAATTTTTATTATACAATATCTGATATATATATCTTGTATATTTATTTTGTATAACAAATTATTTATTTAATGGACCATTTGATCGTTTTGATTAGACCAATTGATAGAGAGCTCTTACCCAGATCGGGTTACAGCTGCCCTACCTTGTTTGGTGCGTCAAAAGTGCGTCGGGGTACGTCAAGTATAACCTAGGTTTGCATAAGGAGAGCATCTTCCTGCGTATCGAATACAAAGTAAATTTCCAATTACATTATATAATTGGAGACTTTATTTTGTATTTGCAATGCCGGAAGATGCTCTCCTTATGCAAACTCGGGTTATACTTGACGTACCCCGATGCACTTTTGACGCACCAAACAAGGTAGGGCAGTTGTTAAAATTCCTCTGCTTATAACAGTACAACATAAATTATAAAATTCTAAAACCCTCGAGAGTAATCTACGTAACTATTGACCAGATAATAATAGCTCTAAATAAGAGTCGTTACATCACATCAACTTTATGTTAGTGTTAACTTTAGTCTTTGATTTTTCCATATGACCCGGGCCATGACCCAGTCATTATTTCTGACCCGGGTAATAGCCCTAGTTTTAGTATGCCTAGCCATTTACGATCAATATTTTCTACGTATTAAAAAATTTTAAATACTGATCTGAATTGCTATTAAGGCCAAGATTTCTGCGTAAGTCACCAGAACATATTTACAAACAAATGCACTGTAATTATCGATATAATTTCTTGTCAACTATACTAAATAACCAAGAGTTTAACCCAAATTTTCAGGTCAGTGCAACAAAAAGCAAATTAAAACCTGTAAATATCAGCGGCTTTTCCGTGAAACATTACTATGTTTTAATTCTATAATTTATTTAAATAAAAAAAGGCTTAATGATTGATTGATGTTTTAGATAAAAAGAATCATCAGTTTTAGTTATAAAGTCTTGGCTATTGTTCTGTTATAAAATCGATTACTATTTTTTGAAATTTTATTTTCAGGTTGTTTATAAATAATGAGCAAAGAAAATCACTTTCTATATTTGTTCCGTAATTTGTGTCATGTTTTACAATGGCGTGGGAATCGGTAGATGGCGTAACCGGAGCTGCGATTAAACCTGCGTAGATGTTTCTAGACATATGAGTGTCGTCAAGAGAAAACTAAAAATAGGTTATTATAATTTTCATAGTAACCTATTTTTAGATAGGTACGTACATTTTCTTTTAGCGACTCTCGTATGTATATAAAAAAAACTTTTAGTAATATTTATACTGTAAAAAAATTTTTTTGGCAATCTTTGCATTTATATACAGTATTTATTTAACTATATAGTTATATAGATTATATATTTACTTGCGCCAATACTATCCACTTAGTTACCGGCATGGTATCCAAGTGTGATCTATCTTATTACATAAAAAATAAACTATTCTAGTTTAAGGCACAAGTCGAATGAAGGCAAATCGGGCACCAATTGGCATTACGTAACCTCGATATGAATCTGATTTGAAAGATATTTGGCACAAATAGGAGACATTTAGGATACAAATCGAGTTCATATAGGCGTTCAGGAATGTCGATAGCTCTATAGGTAAATCGATAGAGCTACTGCAGTACTGATTTATGAAGACCCCACAGCAGTGGGACTAGAGTTTGGAACCGGTTTTATTTTTCATATGTTAAAACCGGTTCCAAACTCTAAGTGGGACAAAAATTTTGATTTTGTAATTTTATAAAAATTGTATTCCTATTAATCTAATTCAAGAAATCAATTAAAATAAGAAAAATTATTTGCCCCCCTTATGCTGTGGGAGGTCCCATATATTGAACGCCTAACCGATTTGCATCATAAAAGTCTCCTGTTTGCGCCAAATATCTGTTTCATATCGGGGTTACACTTTAACCACTGGCACAAATTAAAATATTCTTAAACAATAAAACAAAAAATTTTTAATGCCAAAATATTTTATTAAAATATATAATATTAAATTAAAGTTTTTAGCATAAAATATTATATTATATACATATCATTAATATATACATTATAATATTTAATTAATAACAAGTATATTAAAATATTTAATACAGTAATTCAGATCGATAGGTGTCAATCGGCCGGTCAAACGATCAACGCTTGAAGCAATCAATCTGAGGCACAACATATATATATAATAAAAAATTAATATGAGGCAATATAAAAAAATATATAAATTTAAATATTATTTCTAGTAATGTATATATATATACTGTATATATAACTAAGATAATAATTTATAAATTTTAATTGTTAATTTAAGCAAACAAACTATGAATAAAATAGATAAAAAAAAATAAATTGTTTTCTGACTTATAAGAATTTATTTTAGTCAAAATTATGATTAACATACGATCTTGCAATTTAACTTGTCTATCAGGTAGTATATATTCATTGAATGTTCAATAAATAGTTTATATATTCGAATATTCAAAATTTCAGTGAAAGAATTATATATTCGGATGTTCGAATATATTTTCATTAGATCAGGTTTCTATTGATTTGCAATTAAAACCTAAACCAACCATTATTGACTAAATGCCCACAAACAAGTATGAAATGCGATTGGTTAATTAAATAATTTTGCATACGTAAAAATAGCATTAATTTTGAATTAGTAGTACGTATTAAGATGGATAAATTTGCATACGTAAAAAATAGCATTAATTTTGAATTAGTAGTACGTATTAAGATGGATAAATTTGCATACGAACACTGTCTATATGCACTGTTTGTATGCAACGTTGTATGCACCGTTTGTGGATTTGAATATACTGTAATGATAGAATCCACTTGTAATTAACTGTTAATGATCATATCGATATAGTATGACTTAAACCGTGATTGCAAACAACGATCCTAATAAAAAAAAATTTTTTTTTATATGGATTTTTTAATATATAAATAAATAATAAAATTTCGTCACATAGATTTTTATTGTATATTAGAAAGCCTAATATGGATCCTAGCTGTATAACGTATTTATATTTGAAGTCTCTATTATAAAGTTTTTTTTTAAAAAAAATAAAATAAAATAAATAAATAAATAAATAAGCTTATTTTCAAAAAAAAAAAAGGTTGAATTTTTACAAAAAATAGTAAAAAAACGAAAATCTATTTTCTCTTAAACAAATATTATAGACAAGCTTGAAATTAGTTTTAACAGATTGGCTAGATTAATATCTATTTTATTTAACTAATGACCTTCAATTTAAATTAATAGTCGACAAGTTTATAAATATAAAATTTTTTAATTATATAGCATTTTATAATTCATAATTCGCTATTAATATTTATTTATTTATTTAAGAGTTGCATATATTAATTAAAAGATCGGATCTTAACTTCACAATTTTAAATGATCTAATTCTATGCATGTTTCTTTTAAGACGATCACTTAGAAACACTTGATTATTTATTTACTGGATAGGGTAAGAAATATGGCCCTATGTAAATAAACTAAGCCCAAACTAAGCTAATAAAAAGTATAACGGTTCTTTATGTTTTTGTATATATTAAGAGAAGAGAAAATTAAAATTTGGGCCGAATTCAAAGAATGATTTAACAATGGATTTTTTTTTTTTTTTTTTGGTTGTATTCTTATAATTAGTGTAATCTAGTAACAAATTTTTAATATAAATAACGGCATAATTATGGAATATAATTAAGTTTATTTAGTGGTACAAATTTAAATAAAATATAAAGTAGATCGTGAATAATAGATACGGTGCTTTCTTATGACACTTTCTTGAACAAGCCATTGCGTAATATCTTGACAAAAATATATTTATCAAAGCGATTTTAAAAATCGAATAGTGAAAATATTATTCGAAATAAGGTATTCTGCTGCAAAACAAAATTTAAATAGTACTGCATTCGTGAATTAAATGGCTGCTACTATATGACGTTAAAGAACAATCCCACAAAGGCATACATTTCTATATAAAGTAAAGATGTTCACAGGAGAACAAAGGTCGTGCATACAAATAACATTTTTTGTTAATTAAAGATACGTATGTTTAAGGATAATTACCAGGCGTATCAGCCTCGGTACGTGTTACTACTAATTTAATTTATTAATAATCCTTATTATTATTGGGCAACTCTAACCTTAATCTAACAGGTTTTTTTTGAAAGTTACAAATTAGGTCGCATTACTTTGTAAAACAAGCTCGTAGAATATGTAATACAATCTTATATTCAAAGAATTCAAAGAAATTTGGACCTAATAATCAAATGCTATCCTTTAAATGGTATGCTTTGCATTATTCCAAAAGATGATTTATTTCCGTACGAATGCATGGACTATATCTGCATGAAGGCATGGCGTCGAAAAACCTCGAATAATCAAGGAAAGGATCAGATTTCCGGCGATTAAGTCAGTTGGAGAAATTTCGAGTAATAAAACAATTAAGTCAGTTGTACAGCAATATAAATATAAATATAAACGTAAATAAATAATATAAATATAATAAAGGATGCAACACAGCAAAGAAGCCGAGTCGAACCGATATTACATTATCAATATTTTGAACATGTGTTGTAGCAGAATAAGTGAAGAGTCCCATAGTTGGTAACGAGATTACTATCCTTTGTCGCAAAGGCTAACAAGTAATGTCTAAAGTTTTATGACTTTATTACCATAAAAGTAATTTGCTAATCCTGTTGTGATATGGTACGTATTCGGGGAAGAAAACTTGGCAGTATACTCGTTATAAATAGTTCAATTCAGCCACACAAACTATATTTATTTCAAATTTTAAGCAATCTTAACCAAATAATTATACATGCGTTTACATCTAACACTTTTTGATAACTTGGCAGAATTAATAAATTTGTGCGCAAATATTAACGCATGTCACAATTAGGCAGTTATGAATTCATATTATGTAACACATGAAACAAAACCATCCACGTGTTTCTTATAGAGGTTTTTCCAAATTATTATACAAATGGAACATTATAAGATACCATTTACAGTACAATTTTTTTTTATTCTTTTAAGTATAAATATATCGGTTGTCCCCTCTTCCAGACTAAGTAGTTTTTTTTTTTATACTCTTGTTCGTTTCTCTTACATCATTCATTATTAGGAACGAATAACTTAGACTAAAAACAACCCGGACATAAATAATCATGTCACGAATCATTTATTACCTTACCTTACTTTTGGCCTTTATTGGGGCTGCTTATGCCCGTAAGTTCAATTTTCTTTCTATATGCGAATTTGATAAAATGGTTATATATAATTATTAATTAATGGGAGCTAAGAGCAAAGTGAAAACCTTTTTATAAGAAATATTCTGCTTATTTAGCTTGATTATATCGTGAATTGTGAATAATTCTAATTATGTGTAGACAGTCTAAAGTGAAAAAAAAAAGCAGGGTATCCAAAATAACATCCTAAAGGACATAAAACAACTTGAATTAAATATATCAAGCAATTTTAACATGTTGTTTATATTTTCAGAGGTTTCGGCAATTAACACGCCCGCTGGTAGCGTTGCAAATGGTGCTACTATCACAATCACTTGGTCATATACTCCACAAGCGAACGCAATTCCAGGCATTTTGAGCGTTATCGATAGCACAACCAAAAACACAATCATAATTAGCAGTTCCATAACTCTCAGTACTCAATCTTATCAATGGACGGTCAATGTCCCCGCGGGCACTTATAATCTTGCTCTCAACGACGGTTCTGGTGATAAATATTCTGGACCATTCACAGTCTTCCAACCCGCAGGTTCTGCTCCTGCTGCTTCTGGCTCTGCAGCTGCTCCGGCTGCTCCAGCTGCTTCTGGCTCTGCCGGTCCAGCTCCAGCTCCAGCTGTTGCTGCTGCTTCTGGCTCTGCCGCTCCAGCTGCGCCTGCACCCACCGCTGCTGCACCTGCCCAACAACCATCCCCTGCTGCACCTGCCCCTCAACCATCCGCCAAAGCCCAAGCCCCCGCAGCCAGCGGTGGCAATAGCAATAGCGCTCCGTAAGTATTTTACAACTTATACACATACCCAATTTTTAAATGCATGTTAATAATCTATTTTTTACTATTTTTTAGTAAACAAACAACAAGTTCTACACCTACAACAGCACCAACATCTGATGCAGCTATAAGCTTCACAGGATCAAGCATTAAACTTCTGTTTAGTCTTATTGTAGTAGCAGCAGCAATGGTGCACTTTGCCTAAAATTTATAATCCTAGAAAAACCACTAATTTTAAAAATTTTTAACATGTTACATTTCTATTTGTCAATTGATAAATCTTTAAAATGATTATGATACAGAATATTGCTATATAATATAATATAATTATTAGAAATTTAATCTGTAATACTTGGGAATACTTGGGAATACTCGGGAATAAAATTCAACTTTTTTAATTCGTGTTCAAATTAACATAAATTATGATTAAATGTATATCATCTCGTGTAAAATTTGGTATTATGTAATTTATTCACATCGTATCTACAAAGTTTTGGCGACTAGTGATAAATACGCAAAACGCATCCAGTATTCAACGTACGTACGTACGTAATAGAGTTGACTGAAATTTGTGCCATGTCAATCAAATTCTGTTGATCTGCTCGATGCTAATCCGAATCACTAAGCACTGACATTGGACAGATCAACTGATCGAATTTTTATTGCGCGACTAACCTATTCTGGTATACCTATGTGCACATATGATACACATCACACATATAAGCACCAGTCTATAACGATGAGGTCCTGCAAGCCTGTAATAAATAATGAATTAGCGTTACATTAATTGTAACATACACTTATCCGGTTAAAGTCTATTACTCATCAACTAAATTTTTAACAAGTGTATACACTAACTTAGAAAAGACCGGAACTTCATAGAAGCTAGCTAAATGATTTTACCATAATTATTGTCGCGAATTGGACTATTTTTATATGAAATTTTAAAAATTTTTTTTCCACTTTTTTTTTAAAGGTTAGGTTAGGGTTTAGGTTAGATTTGATACTTGTACCTAAAAAGTATAGGTGAATTTTAGCAGGGTTCATGTTTTTAAATCGAAACCCAATTCCAGCATCAGCCGCGATACTTATTAATAGCAGGGTATAGCGAGTCTAGTCTCCAATTATTATAAATTCATTAAATCGATTTAAACAGTTAGAACCAATATTTTTATTGTAACCATCTTTCCAGACTACAAATCAGGAAAATAAAAAAAAAAAACTAGCATTAAGACTAGTCTAATAAACAGGCCAGGTTAATAGAATTTTGTCAGTTGACCAAGCCACTTTAAAGGTTGGTTGCTGACCTGTCCTGACTTTTTCGATATCATACCAAAAAGAAACACAATATCATGAAACTGTAACTAATTTGATTGAAGCATGATTACGTTATTGGTAATAATTACCATCATTATCACTATTGTTTATTAGTAATCTTGCTACACAATGCGTTAAAGCCCTTCTCTTATAATTTGTAACCTATATCAATATAGAAATTACAAAATTAGGTAACTCATTAAAGGAATTTGATTGATGCTGAGAGAATAACAAAATTTTATAAGTTGGAACTTGCTTTTTTGTTTACTCAAGAGAGCTCGAGAACTCGTACCCCGATCTTCGAAAAGTAGTTATTTGTTTCAAATAAGAGAAATATATAAATTTATATAATTTATATGTAATTTAAACTGCCTTCTTGATTGACGATACATATTTTTGTTTTTTTTTCAAATTAATTATTAATAAAATAACGAATTTTAAGTAATAAATAATACAGTATATGCATGCATTAATCCTTATTGCATAAACATACCTTCGCAAAGTTTTTCAATTAAATGTAGATATAAAATTTAACCGATAATTATTGTCGTTAAGAGAATAATTGTCAATAGGGAAAAATTAGATCAGTGTAACAGAGGTCTAAATATTTCTAACATCTAAAATGACACTAACGATATCGCGAAAAACGATCAAACTAAATTCGATAACATTTTTTCTTATTTTTATTCCATAGACGCAAAATACCGTTCCTGATGGATCGAGCACTAAATTAATAAAATAATAATGTGAATAAAATATAATACACTAAAAAAAATTTTATGGTGATAATATTAGGAGTGTAATTATTCCCTTAGCGTCTCTTTGTTGTAATACCAGCATAACATGTTCTATTTATGCCACCTAATCTACCAAATTTATATCACTTGCGCCCTACGCATTATTCTATACCTGATACGCGTCATCATCGTCACGTCATAATTAGTATAAACGGATAACTATACATCTAAATATTGATATGAAACAAAGATGAAACAGAAATATGGTGCACATCATAAATTTGTAACGAAAAAAAAAAAAGATACGGATTTCAATAATTGTGACAGATTAAAGTTAAATCTTGTTCTATTTTAACCAGAAATTTACATATCTCGATAAAATTTTTTGGTGTATATTTTTGGTTATGATTTGTAGTTAGGATTACTAATAACAGAATATGAGTACTCCTAAAGTGAAACAAGTAAATCATGCTTTATCGTTATTGAATATTTACTTTTAATAAAAAATATTTTAAAATCAATACTTAAAATTTTAATAATACAGTATTCGGATCGTCTCATTAAGACTATTCAAATGATAATGAAATAATAAATGTTAAGTTATTTGATTTTAAAATATTTTTACGTATTTTAAAGTAAGATATTCATAAAACATGATTTACTATGTTTTGTTTTATTAAATATAAAGTTGCTAATTTTGCTACTTTGATATTTGTAGAGCTAGATTTATATACTCCGGATTGGAGCGGTAGTCGCTCATTTCCTCCCAAAGTTTTCCTTAACAGGCCATTTACCCGGAATTAGCATTTGATTAGTTGCAGGAATATATTTTAAGTAAAATGTCACCCTATGTAATGTCGAGGAGCAGAATTTTGCAATTTTATACTAACTTAAATTAAATTTTTTTTATTCTAACGCTAAAAACCCAAAATCTAAATTTAACGCAAACCTTAAAATCTTAATTTACGACTAATCTGGAATAATCTGGAATACATGTCATGATTTGAGTGTCGCCAAAGGAAAAAGGTGTAATTCTAAAAATAGATTATTATGAAATTCATAATCTATTTTAGAATTGCCCTTTTCCTTTGGCGACACTCATTTATTAACACCAATTTAACTAGCCTCAACGTAAATATCAGATATACTTTAATTACAGCTGTTTTAATCAGGTGTAACCAGATGCAGACCATTATTTCATGGGATATCCACACGAATCCCTTGATTTCCCTTATTCGCGAAATCAAGTAAATTTAGGAAATCAGGGAATCATGTGGATATAGTGGTTTGCATCTGGGTACACTTTTTGAAAACAGCTATAAATACGATTTGCACATTCCGATATTACATGGGTTAAGAATAGAGCGGGTTGGAATGTGCGATGATCATGTGCATATAGGTCATATATTTTCGATATCATGTATGCACATATTCTATTCTGTGAATGACGTCTTTGGGTAGTGTTTGTTAACTCTTGGAAATACTATTTTCAAATTTCCGCTTTGTTATAAAGGAAGTTGACTTAATTCATAAGAGTTTGGAGCTGAATTAGAGTAGACTGGAAAATGTGGACATTTCATGGTTTTTTTTTTTTTTTTTTAAAAAAAAAAAAAAAACATTATAGCGATACTAATTTCGATTGATTATAATCAAGCAAAATTGAAATTTACTTGTTATAAGGACGTTCATTTCACTATCATAAATGCACATATGGTTTTGAAAAATATACGACCCATACGCATCAGCACTACAATTTTTATTGTAATCTAAATAACGATAGTAAGACTGAACTGATTACTTATAATTTTGGTCAACTTATGGTTTATATTGAATTTTGAATTAATGTCGTGGAGAATCGTGAAATCTGGCCTTAATTTGAAAATATAAACCTACTAAAACTCTTTTATTATAAGCCCTAACCCTAAATCCTAGTCCAAATCTAAAAGCCTACCCAAAAAATTTTATAGAGCTTTGCAAAAAGATGTGACCCCATGATTTTTGTGATGAAAGATGAAATTTTCCGAGATTCTAATTTGTCTATTAATTCATATTTTTGATCAGTTATATTTATATTTATTTGAAATCGATAAGATTCTTAAAATCTACAGAATCTCCGATTTTCACGCGACGTTGTGATCTGCAGAGGTCACATCTTTTTACAAAAGCGCAATACAGCAATAATTCACGATCATCCGATTTCACGATAATCCGACTTTCACGATCATTCGTGACAATCATCGACAGAGAATGCTATTGATAGTCAAAGCACGGACCAGAGGTTTTAATTGCATGACTAAATTTGGGTCATTTTTTCTGAATGACCAATAAATGTCATAGGCAGACATTCGCATGATTGGCAGTTTAAATCAATTTAATTTTACATTATTTATACAGTTTAAAGTATTTTTTAAAAAAAATAAAACTACTACGAATAAACAAAAAAGAAGTATATAGAAAGTTTTATTAAGGTTGTAGGACTCCACTATTAAAAATAATCAA